TTCCCAGCACCCACATGGCAACTCATCACTATCTGTAACTCCAGTTCCAGGGGATCCAGTGCCTCCTTCTGGCCTCTTCAGGCACCAGGCACGTACATGTGATACACAGACATGCATGCAGGCAAAACACTCCTACACATAAAATAAAAAAAGGAATAAATAAAAGACACCAGTCTTTGGCTGAGGTTTCATCCCACCAGCCTGACATTATTTTAGCCTAACTAATTATGTAAAGTTCTTATTTCCAAACTAAGGTAATAGCCTGTCCTAGTCCCACCTGCTAAGGGCTCTGGCTCCTGCCATGGGAATGACCTCCGACCCACTGGGACCTCCATCAGATGTTTCTTCTTGACAGAATTTCAATGTCAGTGTTGGACTGGTGATACCAGGCGCCTAATGTACTGTTTCTTTCCCTGCATCACAAGTGACTCTTTGGGATAAACAAGGTTTACTGCACACGACAGCCAGTTGCAAATTTCAGATTCTATGTTAAACCCTGGTTTGGAAAATTTAATTGGAAAAGAATGCCCCCAGAGGCCCATGTGTTAAAAGCTTGGTCCCTGTGGTGTGGCTATTCTAGGTTGTCAACTTGACTGTACCTGGAATTAACTAGAACCATTTGAAGTGGGAAGACCCGGTTTTAATCTGGATCTTTTGGGATAGGAAGATCCACCTTTAATCTCTGCCACACCTTTTGGTGACAGAGTATACACAGGACATGGAAGAAGAAAGCATCTCTCTCTCTCTCTCTCTCTCTCTCTCTCTCTCTCTCTCTCTCTCTCTCCTTGCTCTCACTCTTGCTCGCAAGTCCACTGCTTCATTGGCTTTAGAACCCACTTCTTGGGGGATTCTGGCATACACTGAAGACCAACTGAGACATCCAGCCTCATGGACTACACCACTACTGGATTCTTGGACTTCCCGTTGGTAGACAGCCATTGTTGGACTAGTTGGACCACAGCCTGTAATCCAATAGAATAAATCTCCTTTCTGTATCTATACATAGATTCATCCTATCAGTTCTATTACACTAGAGACCCTAACACAGTCCCTGAGGGTTGGCGCTACTGTGAGGTGGTAAAACCTTTAGGAATGGTGCTTGTGGGTAGTGTTCCCGTCATTGGGGATGTGCCCTTGACAGGATTGTGAAGCCCTGGTCCACTCCTCCTCTTTTGTTTCCTGGCCTTGCAGAGAGTGATTTAGCTCCACCATGCACCCCCACCACAGGCTCAAAGCAATACATCACCAACCACAGGCTGGAACCTCTAAAACAATATACCCAAATAAACATTTTCTCGGTATAAATTGACTGTGGTTATTTGTTATAGTGACAGAAACTAATGAATACAGCATTAGAGAATTATTAACTTTAAGGTGATTACGTGCTGTGGAATAATGATTTTGTACACTGGTTTAATAAAACGCTGACTGGCCAGTAGCCAGGCAGGAGGTATAGGTGGGATAAGCAGATAAGGAGAATTCTGGGAAGAGGAAGGCTGAGTCAGGAGATGCCAGCTCGCCGTCTAGGGAGCAGCATGTAATGGCACACAGATAAAGCCACAGAACACGTGGCGACATATAGATTAGCAGAAATGGGCTGAGTTTAAATGTAAGAGCTAGTCAGTGGTAGGCCTGAGCTAATGGCCAAGCAGTTTTAATTAATGTGAACCTCTGTGTGATTACTTGGGTCTGAGTGGCTGCAGACCGGGTGGAACACAGGAAAATTTCAGCTACAATTATGTCACCTTTTAAGGTGATTATTTTAGCCATGCAGAAAAAGGTTTAAAAATCTAGCAGGGCAAACTAAAATAAAAACAATATTTCTGAACAGTGTTTTCTAGTTCTGAAGATTCAAATTGTTAATAATTTTTTATGATGAAGGGGTTGGAAGACATAATATTTACCTATAAGTATGCCTGCTTCTCTATTGTTGGGATTCTTCACAAAAGAAGTGAAATACACATAGTTCTGTTTTTAATTTATCTTGTTTTTATTTATGTGTAAGTGTGTGTGTGTGTAATGTGCACACAGGTGCCACTAGAGGCCAGAAGAGAGTCAGATCCCTGGGAGCTGGAGTTATAGCCACATGACATGGGCAATGGGAACTAAACCTGGGTCCTGTACAAGAGGGGGAGTGCTCTTAAACCCCATGTCACCTCTCCAGCCTGAAACACACCTCTGCATTACTTGATTTGATTATGTATCTACATATAGACATACTACATATATGTTTAAACTATGTATGTATATATGTATTTATGTAAGTGTTTGGACAGTTTACTGTTAGAGTAGTATAGGTAGGTAGGTAGGTAGATAGATAGATGATAGATAGATAGATAGATGATAGATAGAAAGAGAGAGAGAGAGAGAGAGAGAGATAGAGAGAGAGATAGAGAAATAGATAAATGGTAGATAGAGGATAAAGCAAGTGTGGTAAGATGTTAGCATTCAGAAACTATGGGCAAATAGCACATAATAGTTCCTTGTACTGTTACTTCCCATTCAAAAAGCAGTTTCCTCTGACCCCAAAGCCCTTCCCCATCCCCTGAAGAGATTATGAAAGTGGCTTCCTCAGTTTGCAAAATGGAAATAAATAAAACGCCTGTCTGTAGACCCTGCAGTGATCAAACAAGATCACATAGGGAAAGGGCTCACCATGTTACAAGATAAAAACTATATTGGCCAGGTTGTAAATTATTGAAAGTCGCTGGTTTAAGTAGGAGGTCATCTATTAGAGACCATAAGGAATTCACAGATGTGCATGGCAAAGACATGCCCCAAAATCTGCACTCACAAACAAAACCAAACTGTGCCAACTAAAGAAGGGACGTACAAAATAGCAGCTCTCCGTACCTGGGCTGCTGTGGCCAGCCTGCTTCTTCCCTTCCTCAGCAGCCTCTTTCCACAGTCCTCATGTCAAATCAAAGTTCCGCATGAGTTCATCTAAGAAGGGAAGCTTAATGTGCCTCTCCCCACAAGCAGTGAGTAGGCTTTGGCAAGGGGAAGTGGTTGGATGGTGGTGGAGTCATAGCCCACAGTTTCTAAGTCACAGCCCAGTTTCTAAGCTGCTTCTCAGACTTAAGTTCCAAACAGAAAAAAAAATCTCTACTTGATATAAAACAAATGTCTTCTGTAGAAACAACAACTGTCCCCACCTCCCTAAAATGGAAAGCCCAAAGTCACAGGAGTCCCTGTGTCCGTGCCTGTGTCTGGTGGCTGTTTATTCCTCTTCTAGATTAGTCATGTCTTATCCTGACATCTTGCAACCTGTGGCCTAAATTAAAATCTAACCAAAAGCTACCACATAAAACATGTGGGGGTGGGAGTGGGAGGAAGGGAGAGGAGAGAGAGGAGAGAAATATATACCCAACAGATGGAAGCGACAGATGAAGATATTGGTGGAATGTTTGTCAGCCAAGAGTCAGAGCAATGCTTTGACAGAGGCAAGGTCAAAGCTACACATTAACAGCATAGATTTTCTAGAATATAACAATGAATCAGAAGTGTTACAAAATGCTTCTGTTATCATCACCTTTGGCTGTGTATTTAACAGTTACAGTTCTGAACAGCCTTGGCTCCCGAGTGGCCCCTGTGGTCATTCTCACTGCAAGTTAATGTTACTAAACTGCTCAGTTGTCACTGTTCAATGCAAAGGAGCAGCAAGAGCCAGTGGCGAGGCTGTCACCGCCGAAGCATTGGGCTTTCCTTTTCCAGCTGTAGCAGACTCAAGAAAAGGCTTGTTTCCAGCTCCCAGTCTTGAAAGCCAGTAGATCATGATAATGCAGTTTCACCAAAGCCGTCTCACAAATGGAAGTGCTGTGAACTGCCTGTAAGTGCGTTCTACATAGTTCCAGAAGCTGACTCGAGGCTCTTACATTGATTTGTGCTCCTCCATTCCTAACGTCTTACTACGCACTTGCAGCTTCCCATACTCAGTTGACAAAATTTTGTCTTTAGTCTTAGAAGTATAAATCTTGGGGTAGTACAATCAACCCATTTGATTAGTAAGAGGGAAAATGTTTTGGATATTTTGTTTTCTCTACCATGTTCCGTTCTTCATATATTTCCTGTCCTCTATAGCATACGAGTCATAAATGATGCCTGTACTCCATGTGACTTGGGAGGGTTGTCTTTTCTCTCGAGGGCTCAGAAAGGTTTGAATAACCACGTGGCAGGCAAACACACAGTCTTCTATGGGGCCTGCTGTGGCAGGACAGTGTGACCTTGCAGCAAAGACTGGAGAGAGAGCACTTTGAGAGGTGGGGAGTCTGCACAGAGTGAACAGGAGCAGAAGTCAGGCCCAAGCTCCCCCTAAACACGTTTATTCTTGGATTCTTCCCCCTAGTTGCCTTTCATCCTGCCCCAAATAAATCGTTCTCTACAGCTGCCAATGCTGTCATCATTTTCTGGTGTTCTTTCTTGTGTGTGTGTGTGTGTGTGTGTGTGTGTGTGTGTGTGTGTGTGTGTGTGTGTGTGT